TTAAAACAATAAAATAACAAATGACATGATATCAGCAGAGCATTTATCAGAGCAGGAACAGAATGGCTGTTTCATAAGCCAATATGTCAGTCTAGCTCCGCGAAAGAAACGACAAAAGTAATCCGTGGCAGATTTTGGCGTACGTGTGTTGGACGGCCCACCCAGAAGAGCCTGTGGCAGCCATTTGCCTCATTCCCTCAACTTCTCTGCGCCGCGCCGTTGCGCTACGAAAGCGCCGCACGTTCCGCATGAGAAAATGGAGCCATCTTGCTACAAAAAAAAAAAAAAGATTTTCCTAAGTTTTCCACAAGGGCTGCCAGCAGCCGCCTTGCGGTGACTCCGTCAGCGTCTCGTGTCATGTTGGGAGCGTTCGCGAAAACGTAAACAAGCGCTCCTTTTTCAAATGGTGCGCTCCCCTTTTATAGACAGTCGTATGCTCGTCGTTTGTTCAAATTCAATAAAATCCCCCTTTTGAAGCCATGCACTATTTTCAGCCTTGAAGCACAATATATTTGACGGCAACATGTGCGCCACACGCTCGGAGGGGGGGAAAAAAAAATCCCGACTGATTTATGGTTCTCATCTGGTTATGCGGGCTTTGAAGGAGACGCTCAAAAGGATTGAAGTGAGCATGGGGCGCAAATGGGGAATACAGTCAGTTTGAAGGTATAGATGGCTAGGAGAAGGAAGGAAGCAAGGAAGGAAGGAAGGAAGGAAGGAAGGAAGGAAGGAAGGAAGGAAGGAGCTGAGGCTGCGTGGATCCCAGCCTGAATTACTATCATTATTGTAATGACCCGGTAATGTTTTCTTTCCTGGTCTAGTAATTGTTAGCAAGCCTGCGGTTCACTCGTCCAGGTGGACAAATTGCTGCCCAGGATTACTTTCCATGATGGAGAGGGAAACATAATCACTCCCATCGTTAAGGTGCAGAGGAAGACTTTGGGGGGGGGGGGGCGTGTTGTCAGACAACAATTGGGTCACATGGTTGACTCAGTTGGCATGAGCAGAATAGGACTCATTTAAGTATGGTTGTGGCGTTTGTTGTGGTTTCGGATTTGTACTACGATTGTGCCCGACTGATTAATGGGCCAATATGAGCGTTTATTTAAAAAAGAAAAAAAAAATCATAAAAATCAACAACCAAAATTTTTTGGGTGGACGATTTTTTTAAATATTACTTTTTTTTCAAATAATAGATTACAAGATGAGACAAAGATCATAATATTCAAAGAGTACCCACAAGGCTAACCGCCCCCCACCCCCCAAAAAAAAAATCTGGAGATTTTTTTTTTTTCAATCGACAACCGGATTGTATTTTTTGTCGATTTTTTTAAATACAAGACAAGGATCATAATATTCAAAGAGTCCCCACAAGGCTAACCGCCCCCCCCCGAAAAAAAATCTGGAGATTTTTTTATTTTATTTTATTTTTTTTTTCATTCGACAACCGGATTGTATTTTTTGTAGATTTTTTAAATATAAGACAAGGATCATAATATTCAAAGAGTCCCCTCAAGGCCAACTCTCCCCCTGACCCCCCCCCCCCAAAACAAACATTTATATGAATTGCTGTCAGAAAATGTGACTTTATCCTTTTAGTATTTTTAACTTTTTACACCAAAGGGAAAAAAAATTATGAAAATCAGCTTTTTAAAAATGGTTAAATTATTTTTTTCCCGATATATACATATAAATTTACTCCCAAAAAATCCGGGTGTCAATTTTTTTTTTCCCTCCCAGATTTTTTTTGGGGGGGCTGTTGATTAATCGTGCATCAGACCAAATCACGCTGCCAAAAAAATTATCCATATGAGTCAGGCCTTACTTTATCACACAGAAAATCGTCTCTCTTTATTTGCCCCTACTCACTAAATGGATTTGACTACACATCACTTTTTTTTTTTTTTTTTTTTTTTAAGTTGACATCATGTCACATTAAAATTTGAATGCACGTTATTTTTCCATGTGACAGGGGAACAAAACATGCCAAAAGAACTCCTTCTCATCTTTCCAGCTATTGAATTACATCTGGGTGAACGGACACCTTTTTTTAAACACTCGGCCTTCAAATAAATAACCCGCATGAACGTACCACCCACCCGCACCTGCGGCAAACTGTCCGTGACAATTCAAACCGGCCAGATGTTCCTTGAAGTATGCCGGCGCAATCTCGCGTGGACCCGCGCGATGAATGCAAACGAGCCCGGCGTCGGTGTTTCGAACCCCAAGCTTGTACGAGCGCAATCTAAAAGTCAGACACAGGCCGGAATCGGCGAAACGAAAAGCAAAACTTCACAGAAGCTCTCATCGCCTCCCATATTTCCCACAATGCCATTCAAAAGGGGAAAACGCCCGGACTTATTGCTCTCAGCATTTTTTTTTTTAGAGCGAGGAGGAGAAAATGGCAACGGTCCCACAAGACAAAACCATTCCGTCAGATTTATGGCCACAGCTGCTCAGTCAGGACTCACGCAGAATTTTTTTTTTTCCTTCAGCAGGGGAAAAAAAAAAAACTGTCTACAGTTTTTTTCCCTGCCGTTTTTTTAAACCTCCACCAGGGAGTTTTCATCACCCTTTGTTTTTAGTTAGATGACATTACATTTTCCCCTCATGTCTCACTGAATAATGCATTAAAAGTCCCAGCGGGTCTCAACGTAAAACTGTTTGGCCTTGGCAGAGGTCTGCAGTCTTCTGAATGTCACAGACATCAAAAGTTGCAATTTTGGCCGCCTCACTAGACACATCCCGAGGCACATTTTCATCCCATTAACGGAGCTCACGTCCCCGGGTTGCCTCATTTCGATGGTAAACGGCTTATCGAATGAAGGGGTTGATTATTGACACGTCAGGTCATCAATTCACAGCAAAAAAAAAAAAAAGTTATTAGCCTACATTCGGCCAATCGGCGCTCTTTTCATGTCGCAAATCCGATCGGGACAACTCGATTAAATGGGCCATCAAAATGTCGGATTGCAGCAGGATTTGAAGCCCATTTTTTGCAGCAAACTGCGTGATCGAAACAACATGACGAGATGAGGATGATGCAAAAAAAAAAAAAAAAACACTCCGCAGGCCTTCGTTGGGAGGCACCCGTGGCCAGATGAGGCAATATTTGTGTAAAACTGCTCAACTTGGCCCCAGACTTCATGCATGAGAAGTACTCAAAAGGTTGCATTGTTGATTCGATTATCAGACAAAAAGGTTTCAAATTAGTTCTCGAGCCAGATGGCGCTCGGATAGCTTCCTGAAAAAAAACGCCTTCGCTGGCGTGTGCGCATCAAAAGCAGAGAATGGCGCATCTTTTTGAACGTGCGGCAATTACCGGGATGAAAGCGGTGCGGCATATGTGTTTTCTTCTTTCTACAAATATGCATCATTAATTAAAATGAACTAAAAATACAGACGTCAATGTAAATATCTGAATTAAAGTACAAACCCACCCCCAAAAAAAAAAAAAATTCTGAAAAGAGCTGAGAACGTTTGGTGTATATCGTGAATTTTAAGCCGATTTATCAGATGTCGTAGCTTAACTCCGATTCTTCAAGTGTGGAGCACAGTCTCCCTCTAGTGGTACAGTACAGAATCACGGAATGAAACTGCTATGTTAGAGGCGCAGCATTTTTTTTTTTTTGAATCCCGCAGAGTCCATTTGTGAAGTAAATTTCAGTTGTATTTAACTTTTAAGTACAATACATTTGTATGATAAATAACTTTTCCAATATTTATTTGGTTGCATTTTCTCATGACCGCCCCTTTCAGGCACATGGACAAATTTCAGGGCAGGCTCCTGGCAGCGGTGAAGCTATTAATTAGTCAAGTGGGATGCAAACTTTGTCTCCCTGTCTTGATTTTTATCCATGATGACATTTTTTTCCAAAACGCCTCTCAGTATTGGCATGGATTTGATTATACCATTGTTTTTTTTTTGTTTTGTTTTTGTGAGGCATCATGTGTTACAGTGCCAAGTCGTGCCTATTATCTCTCATTACAAGTTCACCAGCCTCATCGAAGTACATCCATGTGGAACCGCGGCTCCCCCTCACCCTCTTGTGTTAGCGGGTAAAAATTTTAAAGAAAGGGAAAAAAAAACGGTTGAACATGATCACCGACGTGTTGACACGTTTGCGTTCTCCATCTGTCCGTGAGCCAACGCGTAGCTGTTGTTTCCATTAACCCTTTCGGGGATGGCGGTTACTACAGTGGACAGCTTACAATGTTATCAGGTGACAGGGTGCATGAAAGGGTTAAAAATGTTTTTTTATTTAAAAAAAAAAAATGGCGTGTGTCTTCACAGGCATGGTGATGGAAGAAACAGTATCAAGGTGTGTGTGCTCTATTCCTGCTGATATGGACAATTTGAGCCCACGGGGGGAAGTTTTCCCCGCCAGGAAAAAAAAAAAAAAAGACATTTTGGCATTTTTTTTTTTTTGGTAATATGTTCAGCAGACGCATGCAGCTCGCATTCAGCAACGGCTCATAAGCAACGTAACATACTTTGCTGAGTGGGGGGGGGGGGTAAGTTTTCCCCGCCAGGAAAAAAAAAAATGACATTTTGGCTTTTTTTTGTAATATGTTTAGCAGACGCATGCAGCTCGCATTCAACAACGGCTCATAAGCAACGTAACATACTTTGCTGAGGTTTGAGGTTCGTGACGTCAATTTCGAAACTTTAAGTGCATTGGAAGAAGCCTTAGAGTGACCTCTACTGGTCAAGACGTGTTTGACTTGACTACCAATTTGATTTGGAGGCAAATATACTTTATATGATTCAATTTGTTCAAGGTCACCCCGACTGCTCCATAAATCAATCCTGTGACCCTGCAGCCACAGGAGAGCAACCCCCCACCCCCCTTTTCCCAAACACTATTCCACTATGCTGCCTCATCTCTCATCCACCGTTGGTTGGCGTTCAGGACAAATACAGCCGATTGCTCAGACACTAATCTGGACTTGCAAACACAGGAGACGGCGCGAGGGTTCGAGCTTGAGTGACTCACCTCCGGGGCGAGCTGCGGCTCCTCCCCTCGGTGGGCGGGAAGTCCCAGAGGCTTGCCAGTTTGGTCCACACAAAATGGGGCAACGGCGATGGAAAATGTCTCTGATGTCCTTGGAAGTAGAGGAAGGTGACATTTTCATTTTTCATGTTCAGTCTCTAAATCTCTAAGCAGCTATTTTCGTCACATTTAGTTCCTTTTAACACCTATTAAGCATTCCCCATCTACCCACCTGTGCCCTTTCAACACGGTATCCAGCAAAGGTGGATACTGACAGAACTGTCTGGGCTTTCGCATAGCAGTCATTGAACATTACGTCAAATATTTGTCAGACAGTGCAGATTGTTTTTAACACAACTTTATGAAAGAAGTTGGCACTTACCCCTTTCACACAGCCTGGCATTCTCCGCCTTATTTTCCCCATGCCATTGTTTTGTGGAAAAGACACCTACACAAAATGGTGGGACAGAGTTAGCCAAAAGCTGTAACAGCCTATGCACAGGAGTACTGAAGTGTACAAGTGTGTGAATTTTAGCAGCTGACACTTACTTGGTCCATCCTGATGTGCTGAAAACATTTGCCCCCGACTGACATGTCAAAGCATGTACTGTTACGGCAAAATCCCGGTTTGGTTGGCATTCTGGAAAAAAAGGCAGCGGGGGATGAATGTGAACTTCTGGTAGGATTCTGAGTTAGCAAATTTGCAGGATCTCTGTATGTAAGAGGTGACGACATCCTTACCACTTGTACCTTCAACGGCGGAAAGTCAACCACATGGTGCAGTTGACATGGAGCAGGAGCAGCAGATACAAGGCTGAAAAATTGTAAGAGGAGCTTCATTAAATCCTATTGAGAGACGTACACTGTTGAACGTGAGTTCTGTGGTGGGTCAAACGCAGAGGTTAAAGTTCAGGTGCAGGGTTTATGTTTTACATTTAGGTTGCCATTTTTTTCATGAACCCATGTCTTCATTTGCGGCTCATTTCCTTGAATTGACTTTTGTTGTTGACTCGTGGTGTTTTTTTATGCCCGGGTTTACGCAATACTCAACATTTTGTACCCACCCATGTTTATAAAGGGTAATGTGCGTCTTGTGGAGCCATGTGGTTCCATGGTGTAATGGTTAGCACTCTGGACTCTGAATCCAGCGATCCGAGTTCAAATCTCGGTGGAACCTAACTTTTTCTTTGCTGCCCTTCGTTCGAACGCGGTCATGTTTTGGTTATGTTTTTGGAAATAATCCACCGACAATTTTGAACAAAACATGAAGCATTCTAAAAATACTCTGACACAGCTTCGGTTCCGCTTATGTCCTTGCCAACTGTCTACAGAGACTTCTTAAAGTGAGCTGAAAAAAAAACGTGCTCTTGGGGACTTATTAATGAGCCCAAAAACTCTCTGCTCTTACCTCTGGACATTGTCCAGGAGCAGTTGTTATGCTAATCACATCGACTCTAATTAATACCACGCATATTATTAGCAAAAGAAATGAAGATTCAAATGCCAGCACACGTTCATTACATTCGTTGAAGGCAGCCAACTGCTATTTCAGCGATGAAAGTTACTTACCATCGTGGAACAATGCATTCAATTAAGCACACCTGCACTAAAATGACTTGAAGCTTAAACTCCCTCAACCGCCGTTCAAGTAACTTGAGAGCCACACGACATATTCCACAACGAACATGAAATGATTCGAATAAACAACAGTGTTTCCTTACCGTTTCGTGGTCATTTCTGGGATTTTTTTGCGGGAACCAAACTCTTCAACGGCTCGTTTTTTTGTTTTTGTTCGCTAGCCATCACGACACCGTATTAACCGCCATCTTGTGGCGGTATCATTGTACTACAAGATAGGGCAACGGCTATTTTCCTGTACCACTTCCGGGGTCGTTCGTGAACAAACAAAAAACAAACAAAAAGAAAACCCAGTGTTTTCTTACCGTTTCGTGGTCATTTCTGAGGAATAATCGCGGAAATCAAATTCTTCAACAGACTTGTTCTTTTTTTGTTTGTGCCAGCCACCACGAAACGGTATAAATCGCCAACTTGTGGCGGCATCGTTGTACAACACGATAGGGCAACAGCTCCTTCCTCTCCTCCTTCCGGGGTTGTTCGTGAACGAAGAAAAACAATTTTTGTAATTTTCTATATTATGTTACATTAGTTGATAGACTACACAAGTGATTCTCAACCAGTGTCCCGGGGCACATTAGTGTGCCGTTGGAGCTCGAACGGTGTGTCGCGGGAACTTATCTAATTTCGCTTAATTGGAAAGAAAATCATTTATAAATAACAAATAACGTATCCCTGTCCATCTATCTATGCCAACAACTTATCGTGACAGAAAGAACAAATAAATGATCTTCTATTTATGGCAAAAAGTACGAAATTGACATATGTATCCTCTTTTTGTGACCATTTTTTTGGTGGGGAGCGATTTTTCTCACGTAAAAAAAAAATGCCTGCGAATGCATCCTGTGAATCATTGCGGCCGTTGTGTTACTCAAACGCATCTGCATTTTCTCACTTTGCAGTACACTGTGAAAATGTTTCCGAAATGGCACACAAATGCCTAAAAGACCGTCTCTGCCAACTTTAAACGCCTCCTTAATTAATCCTCAACTGGCACTCATAATTACCTCATTTGCATGCCCGGCCCTCCCATGGTGGGCCCCACGCAGATCTCCCCTGCTGCGGAAGTTAATTGTCAGGTTCGACGGCTTGATTTGGGGCATGCAAATCAAATCCGCCTCCGGAGAATTGGCGCTGTGAATTGTAATGATCTCAATTTTTTTCCCCTGCCAGTAACCATTGCCTGTGAGCACTCTAATGAATTAGAGCACTTCACTTAATTGTTGCAGTTGCCTATACCATATGTAAACATGAGCTCTTCTATGATGGTTGAACATCATTTTGTGCCATCTGTACACATTAATTGAAAGGATATTTCAGATAAATACTGAAGTAATTAGCATGTGCAAATTCAGTGCCAGAAACTTGAAAGATTAATAAAATACTTCAAGAAAAGGTACTTAGATGTGAGCCTTGTGGGACACCACATGTCATACACATGCTGTGAAGGTAAGGAGTTGCATCATTCTTGTCTAGATTTCCCCATGTGTTTTTCTTGTCCTCCTCAAGGTTTAGAACAGTCACCCGGACGTCCAAATTGTACTTTCAACCTTGAACGCTGAAGCTGGGATCTCAAAAACAACCTCGTGCTATTTTGACCAGCCTCGAAAGCGTTTTGTCACATCCCCGGTTAAATAATTCAAACATTTCCACACAATTGCCCCAGTGGGGTGGACACACCTTACAAACTGCACAAAGGCAAGCAGGGTGTCCTCACAGTTAAATCTAATTAACGCGATGAATTCATTAGTGGCGTTGTCGTATGGCAGCATTCAGCAATGCCGGCGCATCGTAATTAGATCGCAAAGGGTGCCGCCTGCTTAAATAGGTGGACTAATGAATGTCTCCTCTGTGGCACTTTTTATTACAGCACCTCGTCTCTACTCAAGCAAGACTCAATGAGACAGATTCAATTATGTGTATCAGTAAAAAAAATAAATAATAAAAAAAAGGACAGCAATTTGCTTGTCAACTTTGAATAGAAGCAGAATGTTTGGGAGGAAGAAGCTTAGTGGTCCAAAAGTACACTCTAGAGGACAGAGTAGGAACTACAAGATGTTTGCAAATACTGTAGTGCTGCTCGAATGTGACGCAAAGGAAATCAAGCTTGAATCTAAAACAAAACAATGCATAATGCATGTGAAGTTTGGGGTGCCCGAGTTAAACAAATACGTTTCAAAGCAAGCGTTTGATATGTCTGCAATTCCAGTCGTAAATCTGTTGTTTTGCACCGTTTGTTTAGTCAACTAATCCAAATCAGAGTATGAGTCAGTCTGGTCTTTTCGTTTTCTCAAGAAGCTCGTTGTCATCGTCTTGCTAAGCTCCCTTAAATTAAACCTAATCATTTTTTGCCTTGTGTGTACTTTTTTTTTTTTTTTTTAAATGAGAGCACAACTTGGAGTCTATTTCTCCGGCGAGTGAGTGCGATTAGGATGCGGAGGGTGTCGTCTTTGAGATATAAGAAGAAGAGAAGGCTCATGGAGAGGGATTATGAGGCTAATTCCACTAATAACTTTTTTTCCAGCCCCTCATTACCCCCGTGCGGAAGGATACGGGATCCTTTGTGGCGCTAATGTCCAATGGACAATTTCGCCAATGACTTTTTATGGCAAGATTGGAACGAGCACATTGACGGAGAACTCGGACTTGCTTCATTTTCTACTCAAGTTGGCTGTTCAAGACTTTGAAGAAGTTTGTACTTTAATCCCCATGGGGTTTTGATTTTGTTGTATTTACAGTAGATTAGTGAAGGTCACTGCAAGATTAAAAAAAAAAAAAAAAAAAAAAGTATTTCTTGATATTTGGCTTCCAAAATGACTATGTTGATCCCCTTTATATAAAACTGAAGTCCAAAACGTGACAATGAATGTTTCTTGTTCCAAGGACAAGTCCCAGGGGGCATATCGCCTCCCCCGTCCAAAAAAAAAAAAAATCCATCAAAACTTTGTGTGCCATCCTAAAGATTTGCATAATACCGATTCCTGTTCTCATAATCCCTGTGAGCAAACTTGGCATCCTTCTTGCCGTGCGGGATCCGACCGAAGGGCGCGTGGTCATTGAAACACGTGTCGAAGACCTCGTCCACGATTTTCTCCGCTGCCTGGCGGTTGATTTTCCTCACGGCCAGGATGGAGCGCAGGGCGCGGCCACGAACACATTCCTGGGCCGAGCAGATGGCACACGCTTTAGAAAAAGGGAAGGCGCTCTATGGTGTGGATTTGAAATTAAAAAAAAAAAGGGCACCTGGTGATGCTGCTTCATGCCAAAGTGAAAGCGGGCCACCTCGTTGGAAAAGGAGCAATCGCCACTGAGGTTGGCCGCACGAATCTGATACGACGCAACAAAATGTGGTCTGATCAATACATTGGCATATTTTTTTAAAACCATTTACACACGTGCATATAAAATCTAAATTTAATCCCTGGCTACACTTTACAAACTAAAGAGGAAACAGTGTGCCCCCTAGCGGATAATCTATGAATTGCATTTTATTACAAAATATTAATTCTGTGTCTTTTCTGCATTTTTTTCATGTTTAAATTATTCTGCGGGCCTGATCGAACGTCCTCGGGGACCGGTTCAAGCCCGCGGGCCATATGTTTGACATCTCTGCGGTATATAGTACGTGTTTTATGTTATCCGTGAAACTCTAGTCAAAGTAAATGCATCATAAAGTGGATTTGTTACTCTGTTTAGGAGATTTGACGGTTATTTTCATTTTTTGCATTTTATTTGAGGTTTACTGGTCATTAATGTGACTTGAAAAGATATATTTGAAATTCTTTTACAAATACCGGTTGGATTTCATTTGTTTCAATTGACTTCTTTAATAAGGTCAAATTGTACTTTATTTTACCCATGAAACAATAATAATTCATCACAAATTATATTCTGTGTAACAATTATCTGAATTATTTGAATTTATCATTCAAAAATGACTTTTAAATTATTTTAGAAATGTGAATAAAAGTTGCATTTTATGTTTTTGCCCCCCAAAAATAATTATGAATTACATGATATTTTATTCATGAAAGCAAAATTGAAATAAATGCATTGTAGGCTACATTTGGTATCGACTTTTTTTTTTTTTTTTTACGAATTTATTTTATTTTCAAAAATATATTGCAAGTTGACTGCTGTTGGTCAATATTTTTTATTTTACTCTATGTTAAAAAAAAAAATTAAGTTACATTTGTTGCTCATGATTTTTTTTATTCCAATATTTCTTAACAATTCAATCGATTTGTATTTATTTAATTTAAAATTCAAAAATAAATGTGTGGTAAATTACAATTTCTCCGGCTCTCATGTGGAAATGCTCATCTCCACGTTGCTTTGGTTGTTGTTGACGTAGTGGAGGAAAAAAAAGAAATAAAACTAATTCTGCTCATAGACGGGCACGTCAGGACAACACTCACCTCGGAACACGCTAAATGTCTGAAGTTGTTGAACCAGTCCACGTGAGCCCGACAGTGGTCAAAGGCGTGGATGAGCTCATGCGTGACTACTCTGTTCATGTGCGACTGCTGGTGGATGTTGTTCTGACACAAGACAATCTGGAGAGAAAAAAAATAATAGTAATCAGATTACACACAATGTTCTGGTTTTGAAATCTTAATTTCACCAACAGGTGATCTCACTTGGGACGTCGCTGCGTCAAATCCGCCGCTGACCGTCCCGTCGCAATCTTCGCAGGCAAAATGGCGGTCTTTAAACACTGTACTGGGTCAAACAGAAAACGCATTTCACACTGAGAAAAGACAACCTGGTGTTCCATCACGGTGAGACACATTTGGTGGACAAAAGTATTATATTAATTCATCAAGATGTCATTAGACAAAGGGCTGAAGGATGTTGAAAAATAAGCTAAATGTCCTTATACAGAGTTGTTAACTTGCAAAACGTTTTGACTCGCAGTCTTTTTAGCATTCACAACTCATGACAACTTCTCAAAACACACCAACCAAGTGTGGCCTAAACATATTTCAGTATGTCGAAAATCAGGTTACAAAAAAAAACAACAACAAAAAAACCCGTTGCTTTATCCTTTCATGTTTCATGAAACACGTAGCCTGCACTTAGACGCTGAATTTAGCCAGATACAAGATAAATAAATAAATAAAATACACTTACAGGTATGTAAGTAAGTAAATAAATAAATAGACCAGGACTGCCCTCAACGAAGAAGTCTTTTCCTCAACAAATTAAAGCCCTTGCGATTTTAACCCTTTCATGCACAAATAGTGATAACCCGTAACCTGATAAATTGACCACTGCAGTTAACGTTGTCCCTGAAAGGGTTAATAATGCACTTTACTCTTCATCTTTATCTTCCTTCAATTAAATGTGAATTTTTAACTGTGCCTCAATGCTGCTGTCTGTTTTCGTTTGTACTACAATTATTAATCATACCTGTCAACTCATACGGTTGAGCCATAGTTCATACGGATTTTGTGGTGAATCTTACGTATATGGCCATATCGCACAAATCATACGGATTCTGAAAATTTCCGGGTTTTTTCCCCCCCTAACAGGTAGTTCCGTTTGCTTTTGCCCAGAATGATGCTAGTCTACTCGAATGCTTTCATTTCCGGTAACTTTCCAGTAAATCACGTGGTTCCTAGTTGAAAACAGCAGAGTATTCATTGCATACTTCGGTAGTGTACAAGCAAGTTCTACAAGGAAACAAATATATCATTCATATTTCGTGGGTTTATTTCTGTCGTTATTTTGACATATAAAATGCTTTGGTATGTTATAAGGATGTTTTGCTCTTTATAAGGATTTTTTTGGTAGTTTATACAGGTTGGCGCTCCGAAAAGTTGACAGGTATGATTAATACGAATGTTTATGAATGCAATTTACCATCCAGAGTTCTTCATGGCACCGAGGAGGAGTTTGGCATATGGACCTGAATGAAGCATATCACGTTAAATCGAAAATATTACCACATTACGAATATACAGTAGAAATGCATACACATTACAGCGGGCTAAGAAATTGGCTGCTAACAGCAGCTTCTATATGACATGGTAAATAAAAGCAACGCAGTATGTCATTAAAAAGTGTTAGTTGCGTCCTACAAGATACGACGTGCTAGTTACTTTGGAAATAAAGTAACGATAGCGTTACTCACTGGTTTCCACGGCTAACTGTAACATGACCTGACATTTGTGGTTGAAAGTTAACAGGCTCTCTGCGACGGAGCCCTTCTTGTATTTCCCCGCGTTCCTCTCCGGGAATAAATCGTATCCGTATTCTTCTTCTTGCTTCGTCTGCCCCATTTTTTAAATGTAGTCGCCCCCCGTTGCGATATTTGTCAAGTACTCCCGGCTAGCCAGCCTTAGCTAGCAGGAGAGGTCATTGCTGGGTTGTGACGTCATGTAACAGTGCCGCTTCAAAAGGTTAAAAATAAAGCAAAAATACAATAACAATATTTTACAAAAGAAAAAAACTATATTTTTAGTAATACTATAAACACAATTTCTTCCATTTATTGCGTAAATAAAATGTAAATAGAAACCGTCGTACATTGTACTGCGCATGCTCCACAACGTAAAGCATGCTGGGAACTTGCTGTCATGGCTCCATGACAACATCATCATCACATGAATTCGCTCCTATTTACGACTACTTCATTACTACTACATTTGAATCGCGCTTGTAAGCCGGAGAAACAAGGAGAAGGTAGTGTCCGACGTTAAACTTTATTGAATCCGATCGATTACTTCAAAAGTATTTACTATTTAGCATTGTTGTTAGCTCGTGAGCGAAACGAGCATGACTTGAAACTCGGGGTTTCGCTGCAAGTGACATCGAAATAAAAGCAAACGTTCTTTGTCATTATTCGAAGGGAAGAAATCATGGCCGTGCCAAACAAATCACTCGAGTTGCAAATGCAAATGCGGCAGAATGCGGAGGACCTGCAAAGCTTCATGAAGGATCTGGCGACCTGGGAGACTGATATGAAGACCAAAGATGAGCAATTGAGGAGAGGCGAGCAGGGGATCCCCAAGGTTTGTTGGAGCTACAAATCTCATACACAGGAATAATATAATGTCAGATGATATTAGCAGCATTTGTTCCTTCTTTTACAGCCAAACCTCCCTCCTGTGCGCAACAAGGACTACAAAGCAAAAACGAGGGCGAAGAAGAAAATGAAAATGGCCAACGGTGACTGCAAAGCGGAGGAGACGGACACCAAAAAGCCTCCGAGGATCAGATCAAATGATTATCAATCGTGGGACAAGTTTGATGTGGTTAGCCATGTCTTGATTAGTATGGATGCACGTACACGAAAAAAGCTTTCGTGTACGTGCATCCAGAAAGCTTTTTTTTTTAATGCTAGGCCAAGGCTTTGGAGGAGGTAGATAAGGAGGAGAGCCCCACCGAGTCAGACTCGGAGGAAGCTGATCAGGAGCGAGCTTTTGCAGAGAAGGAAAAGGTAAGAGTCAGCTCAAATGTATTGAAATGGTAAATGAAATGCCCCCCCCCCCAAAAAAAAATATAACGCAGCTTTATCATCAGGGCAACGCATTTTTCAAAGAGGGCAAATACGACGATGCCATCGAGTGTTACTCCAGAGGAATGGCTGCGGATCCTTACAATCCCGTTCTTCCCACGAACCGAGCCACCGCATTCTACCGCCTCAAGAAGTAAGCATTCACTTTTTTTTTTTTTTTTTTTACTCCATGCATGCTTATCGGTTTGCCCCCCTTTCTTTAGGTATGCTGTGGCCGAGTCAGACTGCAACCTGGCCCTCGCCTTGGACGGCAACTACTTTAAAGCGTATGCGCGGCGAGGAGCGGTCCGCGTTGCACTGAAGAACTACGAGGCCGCTTTAGAAGGTGTGTGACTAGTATGAAATCATTCAAAAATAAACATACTGCATGACTTGGTAGATTCTGCAGAACTGAGTTGAAGGCAGATGTTGGAAGGCAGCTCTCGTAATGGCTTCCAGAGAATATACGTGATTTATTTGTGATGTCATGTTTCTGCGCAGATTACCAAACCGTTCTCAAACTTGACCCGGGCAACCTGGAAGCACAAAATGAAGAGAAAAAAATCAAACAGGTGAGTCGGATTAAAAGTTTTGAGTTGGTGGCAGCGAATTTAACATCCGGCCATCCTAGGTTGGTTATCTCGCAGCGAAACTACAGGTTGTGATTTGTAAAAGGACAAACACTATAAAGAAATTGATGAAAGGGGTAAACAATATCTGACCAGTTTTCTTTGTCAGATGCTTGGACCTCAGGAGCCAAGTGAGGGAACGTCGGCTGAGGCCAATCCCGCCGTAGACCAGGAGCAGCAAAGACGGCAGGAAGCGGTTGTGCAAAAAGACAGAGTAAGATTCCTTACTGAAACCCTCGCACGGCTACTCGATCCGATATTTATTTATTTTTTTTCCGATACATTTTCTTGACATCGGGACTCCTCCAGGGTAACGCTTACTTCAAAGAGGGCAAGTACGACGCGGCCGTGGAGTGCTACAGCCGAGGGATGGAAGCGGACTGCATGAACTTGCTGCTGCCTGCCAACAGAGCCATGGCATTCCTTAAATTGGAGCGGTAAGAAGCATCACGCCCGTTTCTGTTTTACGGCAGGGGGGGAAAAAAAAAACCACAATCCGTTTGATGTTAGGTTCGAGGAGGCGGAAGAAGACTGCACCAAGGCCATTTCATTAGACGGCACGTACTCGAAGGCGTTCGCGCGGCGAGCCACCGCCCGAGTGGCTTTGGGGAAGCTGGAGGAAGCCAGGAAAGGTGACACTTCGACTTGATATGAATCATGAAAATCTAGTGAAAGAAAGAATATGATGAAGGAAAAAAAATGTAGATTTTCAGGAGGTTTTGAAGCTGGAACCAGGGAACAAGCAAGCCCAGAGTGAACTTCAGAAACTCCAATTTGTATGTTTTTACCATCTCCTGCTTTTAGACATCGTCCCCCCCCTTTTTTTTTTTTTTTTACTGAAATCTGTTACTTGGATACTTGCGTTATCAGCACGACGTTTCCACTGGCCTGCTTCAAACGTCCGAAGGCTCCCGGAGGAGAACGGTGCAGCCCGTGGACAAAGCGGATCACCTGCGCTCCACTGTGAGACATCCACATATCTCTTTTCACGCCCGACGGAAATAAGAGCCACGTTGACTTGTTTTCCGCACGGAAACGAGGTTATCGTCCTTCCAAATGAGAATTCAAACTCCAAAAATCCACCTGAGATGGTGGCACCTTGGCAAACGAGGAACAGAAAAGCGTGACATGTACAGTATTGAATTTGTGGAGGCTTGTTTTGAAAATTAAAAAAAAAAAAAAGCTAAAACTAAGACTGAAACTAAGAAACCAGGAAAGTAATTCAAACTACATTTTGTCAACAATTCCAAATGCAATAAAAACGAAAATGACCAAAACGATTTCTAACCCTGCTCAGAAACCAATGAGGAGGATTGACATCGAGGAGATCAGCGGGAAGGTGACGGTACCTGATGTGGCGAGGGACCACCAGGGCCAGTCGCCCTCCGCCAAGAAGATCAACATCCAGGATATGACGGCCTCCCCCTCGCTGTCCGAACCGTCGGTTGAACCATCTTGATGAAAAATGCTTGAAATCAGAAAGGCTCACAACTTCACATTTGATTTTATTTGCACACAAACATTAAAATGTTTTTTTTTTTTCCACAACAGAGCTTCGACAAGCACACAAGCCAAACCCAAGCATCCAGAAGAAAGCGTTCTTCCCCTTGAATCATCACACAAAGCCCCCTCGATAAAGCTCCCACCCCCACCCGGTAAAAGTTTCCAGCTCGAAGCCGACCTACGCACGATTGGAAACCAGCCGGAAGTGGTTTACAGATACTTAAAGGTTGGATTGAGTGAAATTAAAAAAAAAAAAACACCATTCAAAGCCAGCAATCAATCACTGTTTTGTCGTTTCTTTCAGCAAATTAAACCAGAGGCGTACGCGCGCATTTTCCAGAGCTCCCTCGAACCTCACATCCTCACTCAGATCGTGCAGACGCTGAGGGATTTTTTCATCCAGTGAGTACATTTCGCGCCATGTGGTATCGCGTTATGCGAGCATCTAAAAAGGCACCGCCGTATGTATTGAATCCGTTAAAATGACAAGAACGACCTAAGTCCATTAGAATCGAAACATTAAATGTCGAGGTTGAGTTATGTCATTTGTTTTTTGTTTTTTTTCATTGAGATGAATTGATTTGGGCCCCTGTACGCCATACCGCCAGCAGGGGGCAGTAGTCCACCATTTTAGATGGCTGCGAGATTTTTTTTTTTTTTTCTTCCCCAAAATGGTTCAGCTCGACTTTTTGTTTGTTGTGCTATGAGATTCCTCGCAAGTGAAATATGTGCCTCGGCTCAATAAAAGTTGAGGGGAGGGGGGCGGGGGGGAGACACACGAAATGACACCAACGTCCTTCCTTGCTTGTGCAGGAACGAATCTGCGGACGTCACATGGGAAATCCTCAAAAGTCTCTCGAGCGTGAGGCGCTTCGACACGGCCGTCATGTTCATGTCTTCGTCGGAGAAAAAAGGTGGAACGATGTCAACTTCATTATTTCCCGTTAGTTATTCTTACGCATGTTTTTTTTTTCTCCTCCTGCCCCGCCGCCACTCAGTGCTGAAAGAAGTGTTCGACTTCCTCCATCTAGCCAATGTGGACGCGTCATCTGTCACAGCCCTACAGACGAAATATGGCGTGTGACCTGTTCAATGGAATACAGTTCAAAGTCATGCTTGAATAAAAAAAAAAAAAAAATCCTAATTTTGAACTTACCCACATTCTTTTGCACACCTATGCAATCTAATAAGAACCAAAAGTTACAGATCGGATGCAAAAAGTCACTGTTCCATTATGATACAATATCACATTTATTAAAAATAAACCGCATACTAACATGTTCCTATGCTTAAAAAAAAAAAATCTCACATACCAAAAACGTGCATGTTGACTCTATAATGTTCATTAGTGTGAATGTTCGTTTGTTGAGATCTGCAACCCGGCTGGCAGCCAGTTCGGGGTTGTGTATCTCGCCTGGATTTGTACGTTAGTTAAAGTGATGTTTCTCTGGAGTCCTGTGGAGGCCTGAAGGTTAGTATCTCCGTGACAGTGTGTCCTGTGAAAACAAACCAAAAAAGGAACCGTCATGAGGGTTTATGTTGACCCGAGGTTTTGAAGGTGGAAGGCTCGCTTTTTACGTTTCCACTGATCGAGCGTCAGGTCCGTGTTGTCCATGGTTTGGTCGTACTGCTGCGCCTCGGTCTCGTCCTCAGTGTCGCGGAAGTCGGCGAAGAAGGGAAAAGCCAGAGCTTCCGAGGCGCTGACCCGCTCCTCGGGGTCGAGGAGCAACATCTTTTCCAACACGGACACGGCTGCGATGCGGGAAAATCGACGGCGGCAAGAGTGGAAACTTTTCTGTGGTGGCTCTTTATGGAATGGAGCTGGTTACGTACCGTGTGAGCTGGCTTTGGAAAAGATGGAGTGGAGATCCTTTTTCGGTACTTTTGACAAACCTCTGAGGTAGTTTTTGGCCTGTTCGGGGCAGAAATACGGTGTTACAGATGTAACCCGTTCAGGGACAGCGGTCACGACAGTGGACAGTTTATCATGTTATCAGGCTACAGGGTGCATGAAAGGGTTCAGTATTTAGACACCCTTCTACTTTATTTTAACTTTAAATTAAATGTAATTCTTGTTTAATTCTCATTTATTTGAGGATCATTGTAATTGGATTTAACGTGAAGTACGTTTTTTTTTTGTAATGTGATGTAGTGTTAATGTGTTGTTTATTTTTAATTGAACTTGAATGTAATTTTATTTCAATTTAATTGTAATTTTGATTCGATTTAATTTATTCCGGTTATTTAGAATTTTAATCCAGTTTAAATTTTAATTTTATATTAATTTTAATTTACTCAACTCAATTGTATTTATAGAGCACTTTCAAACAGCCATCGCTGCATACAAAGTGCTTTACATGGAGCAATTAACAAGCAAATCGGTAACAAAGACGGTAGAAAGCACCGAACAGCAAAACCAAGAACAAATCTAAGTCATGCTGAGTCAAATGCCAAAGAATACAAGTGAGTTTTGAGGCGGGTTTTAAAAAT